AAAAAGCAGCATACTGAGTTACTTTACGCCAGTCCGCATCAGTTCTGCATCTGATACAATTATTTAGTACCAAATGTACGCGTTCGCATAAAGCATTCGCTTGCGGATTCTTAGCCGATATCGCCTTCGGCCTGATGGCGTAACTGGCCAACATCTCTCTGTACTCACTTGTGTTGAATTCATTCCCTCTGTCGAAAATCACCACTTTTGGACGCGGGTACCGACACAGCCATGTTGCGTCGAAGTTCTCTGCCGTCGTCTTTCCTCGGTTGCCTGGCTCTACGGAGACCTCCAACCAACGAGTAGCATCATCAACTACTGTAAGAGCATACTGACGTTCATTTTCGTAGGGTCCTATCGTGTCGGTGTGCACAATGTCGAACGGATTGATTACATGCATGTCCCTCGGGGGCAGCTTGCCGAACGCTTATAGTCCTCCATGCAACTTTCCTTTCTTACATGTGATACACTTCTTGCAATATTCCACTATCGTTTTCTCCATGCCCGACCAATAGAACACAGCACGCATAGCTCCAAGGTGAACTAAATTCAAGTGATACCATTCCACAATTTCCGTACGCAGCACCTTATGAATCACGACTTGCTTCTGGTACGTTAGCAATCGCGCCCCCATGTTATTCTCAATACGGGGTCACCTGTACCGTTCATGCACTTCTGGGTCACGGTCTACACTAACTCATCCCCTTGTTGATACTGCTTAATATACTCTCCTTCCAACACGCACGTATCCGGATCCACGAACGTTGCCTCTGTTAGTTTATCGCTGCACTCGTTCGACATTGCCTTGCACTCCATGCGTGAAAATGCATCTGCCGCAAAGTTATTCTTCCCTTGTACATACTCGCAGGTCAGTCGATACTCCGACAGAAAGAGCTTTCACCGTTTCACACGTAGTGAGTTCTCCGTAGGATAGATCAGATTCTTATGATCGGTATGAACGACCACCGGGAATCTCAGAAACATAGTTCTGTACTCTTTGAGGATCTCCACAACCGATAGTAGCTCAAGTTCCATAGTCGTGTAGTTCTGCTGTGCCTTTGCGAGTGTCCTTGAGAAACAGGCTATCAGTTTGCCTTCCTGCTGGATCAATCCACCAAGTTGCTTGCCGCTAGCATCGGCATATATATCAAAGGGTTTCGAGAAGTCCGCAAATGATAATAGCACAGCTTTAGCAAGCGCTTCCTTTATCCCCTCGAATGCTTCATTCTCAGTCGATGTCCACACGAACTTCGCTTTTGGGGATGTAAAAAAATGCCCGTTATACAACATCTCAAAGTACTTTAGCAGCACCACCACTTGTCGTACGTTGTTTCGTCAATCTCTGCATCACCAATTAACTCTATTGGCATGACCGAAGTGTCGTTTATCTACCTTCACCTCAGCTGGTGTTTCCACTTCCTTCAACTCCACGGGCAGTTTCTTCTTCGTTGCTTGTCCGGAGCCATCGACATTACACCCGTATTTACCGTGACAGTGTTCCCGTTTCACCCCACCTAGCCGTCTCTCAAGTTCACAATAATACCGAGTGCACTGAGCAAGTCTCAACCTATGACCATCTGGTTCTTAGTGTGCTCGATCACTTTGAACTGGTGCGTGATTCTGGAACCATAGTTCAGGTCCAGAAATCGAAACTTCACGATCATATTTCCGTCCGACTTGATCTTGCCGTCAACTTGCTCCAAGGTCACGGACGATAAGTTTTTCTCGAAGTCCAGCTTCTGATTTGCTATCGCAAGCTTGGCATTAATATGACTGGTTGTACGTCCAGTATCGAATAAAGCTACGCGCTTCGACTTGGTTTGTGATAGCCGTATTCCCAGTCGCATTGGTCGTCCAGTACTAACCTCAGATCTACTGGGGACGCTAGTGATGACTTTTCCTTCACTATCGGCACTGTAGTTGTAGTCCCACTCTGTGTCGTCCATATGCGTCAACTTACTGGTCTCCGACTTCTTTGCCGATGACTTCTGATTGTAGTTGCCCTTGTCATTCTTCTTCTGCGTAAAACACTTTTGATCACTGTGTGATGCGGTCTTGTGCAGCTTGCATCACTTGCCACTGTGATGTTCATGTTTGTTACTCGACGCCTTGGTTGAGACGTTATTGCTCGACTTGCTGTGAAACCCACTCTTACTACTTTGCTTACCACCCGACTTGTTCGGCTTGCTCATCTTCTGCTTGTCCTTCCTGTTCTCCTTGCCTTCCCGGAGTTCAGACTGTTCAAGTCGTTCAAAGTACAGCACTGCCTGTGGTATACTGCTAAATGTAATGCCCATATACTCATACGCACGCCATCTCTAGGCATCGCACGCTTAAAGTATCTTATCATGGACTTGTCGTCCAAGTGCATGAGATTTATCGGCAACTCTCGCAGTATGCGAGTGATCTCCCGCGTTCTCTGGCGGCATTGTTACACATTTTCACTGCAACGTTTTGCGAACAGGAATAGGCCCTCCTTCAGCTGCTAGTTGTAAGCCCTCGGAACGTACGTACGTCCCCAGCACGCGTACGCCTTTTGTGAACTGGGTCGGACTTGTCATTTCCTTGTCCTCTGATGTCGACTGCCACGCTTCCAGTGCCTCGTTCTCCAGCACTAGCTGCAGGTTCATATCTTCTCTTCGGACGTCCGTTTCTTAAGCTGAAATAGACGCACGAATTTATGGCTTCATTTTAGCTATTCTTGGGCGGTGCCTCTGCTGAAGCGAGGGAGCGTTAGCTTGACGTACTCACGCTCAGTGTCGTTCGTCTGCTCCCGTGTTGTCACCTAGAACGCCACGCCCTTCTTTGCGCGGTTCATGTCCTCAATGGTGCCTTTGTTGGTCTTCACCACTTGGTATGGCTCTTCACCTTTAGTTCCTTTGAACTAGTTCAAAATGATATGCCCTTGGCTCGCAGAGGGGCATTGAAGGTAGAAAGAAGACTGATATTTATGTTAGTTAGTTTTGTGTCTTGCCCCCGACTGGGAGGCAAGAGCCTAGAAAGAATAGAAATAAATGTTGTCTCAACTGCTACTTCAGCTGCTACGTTGGCGGCCAGCACCCATATGCCGGCACCCTTGTCAGTACTGCGGTCCCAGAACTCGTGGATGTGATGCCGGGCACAGCTCTAGCCCTAGGCACTGTGATCCTTGTAGGCGTCTAGCAGCACGACCTTCACCTTCCTGTACGATTTCTGTTGTGCTAAGATGCGTTTACAACCTTGCCTTGGTTTTACTATGGCGATGTGCACCCCTGCGTTGCAAATCTAACTTAATTTTACTGTACTGGGGCTGACTTGCTAGTTGCAACTTCGGTTGCAAATGCCGATAATATTGCCGTGAGAGAATTTTTTTTCCCCGCCAACAGGCACTGTTTACAGATTATTAATAACCATGCATATCCGACAGGACCTTTATCAAATATTTTTCATGTTGGGGACGTAATAGCAGACGAGATCTTTGATGCTGGAGGGGGCTTCTTCAGGTAGGAAATCCACGACTGCTCCCTCCCATCGTATGCTTTGAGCTCATAACCCTGTGGCATGGTTACTTAGATACCTAAACCACATGCCAAAATCAACCAACTTTCATTACTCCTGCATATTCCTGATCGTAACTACGATCTCTCCTCGAGTCTCCTTTGCTCTCTCAATGCAAAAGAAGAAAAGCTAAGCTTTTTAACACAACGCGCCTCCACAAATCTTTACACCTCTTTTTTTCGCTTGATCTGTTTTCTCCTGGACTTGGCACTATTGTATCTCTTCGCACACATCGGCAAGCTCCAATGTAGCAATCGTAACAATATGTACTATACTCGGTTTGTGCATGTACCGAATTCCCTATGTCAAGACATACTCCATGAATTTAGACAATCATATTTATCGATTTCCAAATCGAACTACATCAACCCAACCCACTCTTACTTATACCAAGTCAAACTAGACAGGACAGCGAATTGCCAATCTCTATGCGTCACATTGAATGTATGTATTACATAGGGACATAGGAACTCGGTATCAAAAGAGCGAGAAGAAAATGGTATCATAGCGCGTTGAAATCTTGGATAGTACGCATCCGTCTCCTGCTATAGCTTTGAAAGGCTTAATTAATGGTGGCGTTGACGGTAAACAGCAGCAATTACGTATTTTCATTTTTCAATTTATCTTCCCGTAACAACATCCAAAACGCCTATTCTGAAGTGACCATGCGACTGCCTGGTGTGTTGACTGTGGCTATGTAACGGGGTAAATGCAACCCGTTACTAACATACACTAGGATGAGGAAGATAATTAAACTCTGGGATTCATTTCTTAACGGCGCGGTCTCGACACTTCGAACCGCGCCAACCAGAAAACTGTTCTGAGGTCTGATTGGCCATCGTGGTATCACGATGGCGCCTGTGTAACATTGTCACAGGCTATGTTTTGGGCAATCGATCAAGGTTTTTCATCCAATGCTACTTTTACCCACCCGCTCAACAGGTGGTACACCTTGCGACGGGTACACGTTTTCGGCCTTGGATCCTATAGTGGGAGGGGCATTCTTCAACACAGTACGATTTGGCCTAAAACACTGTAAATCTAGGCTAGACCACTGAGGGTTAGGTTGGGCGCTTCCACTGTGTGAACCGAATTAAAACACTGTTGGATAAAGTGCGACATGGTGCTGATCTTGGACGCTCGAGTCGTTTACAATGCGATTCTACAGCTTGCATACGTTGTACAGGAACATTTTCAAAGTCCGTAACGCTTGGACAGCGTACAGATACAGGAATATCGGAGAAACGGACGGTTTGTAGATGAGTTAAAGCGATTGCGGAAGAAGGGCGAACAGTCGAACTTCTTTGACGCTTGTCACGCGATTGAAACCGGCCGGCTGGGGTTTTAAACCCAGGACAAGGGAGTCCTAGTATCTTTGTTGCTTCGATAATATGAGAGTATTGATTATACTTGCTGTGGAAGCGACATTATCACGCCCTAGTCGTCACATCGACTACCCACCCGTCCTCCGGCATGCCCTCCCACTGCATGCGCAGCGTGTGTGAAGACTTAATAGGCTGATTAACGTCATCGGCATCGAATTCAGGTTTCTTCTTTTTCTTTGGCGGCTTTGTCTTTCTTGAAGTTGATACCTTGTGAGTTGGCAACACCGTCAGTCGTGTAGACCCAATAGCCGTAGCAACACTCGTTTCGGGAATGGATTGCTTCACTAACACGAATTGACTTCGTAGATCTCCAACGTGAAGAAGCACAGTTGCACTTAGATCGCCTCGTTTCTTAATTTTATTGTAGTTTGTTTTAATCGCTTTGATGTTTGCGTAATACTCGAGAACTTTGCATTTTCGCTATAAAACCGATGCGCGATTGGTCCAAGAGTTGCACCATTTCAATTGGCGTAGCGCGAGCCGTACTGTTCACCAATTTAACCTTCCGGTGGTATTGCTCCACGGGATTGTTAGTTGTAGCGTAACCTGGAGGTGTGTGGAATGCTTGCCATTTGGAGAATCGAGGGTTGTCGAACTACTGGCGGCGAATCTTCTTAGCAACAGCTCGAAAACAAGCAGAGGTCTCGCCAATAATCATCCAATTATTCACGATATTTGCTTTCTTCTGATCAAACTCGTTCTCTGATCTGCAGAAGTGAAGGTCGTTCAAATCACTAAATATTCGATTTCGCTGCTGTTTGGGTAGTTTTCGGGATATTTTCCACACGTTCTGACAAACGTGATACCAGCACATAAGAATCTTGGTGGTGGATAACTCACAGATGCATGCATTGTACTGTCTATTGTCAGCGTTAGTCATCATGTATTGCGGAGAAAATCGAGTTCCTAAAAGCTGAAGATCACGCGTTTTAGGTACGATAGGCACCAAGCAACATCTTCAGCCTTCCTTTGCGATGCACAGTAATACACCAGTGGGAAGAAGTGTCCACAGCAGTCCGAATATCCAAGGAAAAACACGCTATAACGTTGTCATACCAAGTTGTGTGTGTTATCTACGTGAAGATTAGTGATGCAGCGAGGTTCTTCCTGCACTGTAGCATACGCTTCCAGCAGTGAATAGCACGTGAGTCCCATTCGAAAAGGTGATTCATCAGATGCATTTCCAATGTTTGGCACGAAATTAACATTTTCGTAAATAGAGTCGCAAAACACGAGTAATCCATATCTGTCTTGAGCCGGTTGATGGCTCAACTCGAACTTTGATCGTGCACAAATTTCAACAACCGGTAGCATCAAGTCATCTCGATGTTTTGCTCGCCAACGCTTCATGTATCCTTGTACTTGTGTCTCAAGCGGTGGTGGCCCGCGCAACTGGGAACACAACCGGATAAACACGAGATAGGGAGTCACACCAGAATAAATCGTAATTTCATTCTGTACAAAGACTTTCATCTCTGCTGTCAGTTTTGCCACTCGCGGGGAACTTTCGCCTGCGTCCAACATTGAGTGTTGTCCGTCTTGATGTACGGTCAAAAGAACGCTTTGGTCGCAAGTATTGATTTTGTAGCGACATTTACATGTTCCAACAAGAGCACAACGGGCAGAGGTACATTTGGTCAAGACTATGCGCATCATGTGTCGTTCCTGAAGTACCATGTTGTCACCGAGAGCGGTATGGTGCATTGTACACGGGTAACTTTTCACTGTAGTCCGACTAGGTAAGCTTGCCATAAATCCTTCTAGCGTGCCTCCAGTGGATTGACTTGACCACCAAATGAGCTGCCAGGTAGGTCGAATTCTGGATGGTTGCCCCGTCGAGATCGTGCTTTCACTTGACTGCATTACAAGGTATTAGCCGTATCATTTGTCTAAATAGGTGTGGGATACGGTACCTCCGAGTCGTTCGAACTATCTTCCGACGAACTTATACTTTCATCAGAGCTTGGGCGACTACTTGAGCTGGCCATGCCCCCTTTACATGCTACTTTCGCCAAACTATGCAGCCGTTGTAGGCTTCCTATAGCGAATTCGAGAATAACATATTTCAGACAGCACGAGAAGTCGTCGTCGGGTTCTTCGACAACGGCTTGGCTGTTGGAAAACGGATCCTATTCTTTTTATGTGTCGGCGTACTTCAGTGCTACAAGCCCATTTTATCAGTGTTTTCGACCCTCCTACCCCTTCAGTGGAAGCGGCCAGTGGCTCGGTGGTGAAAACCTCTGGTACAGTGTTTTAGGCTCTGACTCCGCCACTATAGGAGGTAAAGGCGCTGAGTGTGCGATTTATACCGCTCCGTTATGCTACCCCGGTATCTGTGAGGCAGCTGAGTTTGCTGATCCCACCATTGACGTTTTCGTCAAGCGACTTCCTGCTACATTTGGCGATGCCAAGACGGCCCACAATGTTTGGTTGATTCAAGGGGGCCCTATTTACTCCTCCATCGCTTGTAAGACTTTATCCACATACTCTTCGTAGTCAAGCATTTCTAACAAATAAATACGATTTTTACGGGGTTATCTATAGTGGAATCGGACATGGTGGATCTGCACGAGCGACTAAAAGAGGCTGTCAACATGTACATGATGGACCATCGGGGTACAGGACGGAGAACCTTATTTGACTGTGTCGCCGCACAAACTACGACGACCGGTTCTTTGTGGGGCCGTGAGAAAAAGTCGTCTGAAGTACCAGCTTGTGCGAAAATTTGCGGATGAACTGCGGGGATCTCGCATCATTTTCTACAACGAGCGCTGCCACTGGCATGTTGACTTTTATCGAGTTCTCGAATGGTGTCAACACTATTGTTTTTGGAGTAAGCTACGGAACAATCGTGGTGGAACGTTTGATGCACTTGAACCCATCTCAATGTACTCGGATCCATTTTTGTCGTACATTCATGGATAGGAATACCCTGAGACAGGAATTAATTCTTGGCTCCCAGCGCGATGACTACCGAGGGGATCGTCTGTACAATCCAACCACTAATAGTGGTTGTCAGAGTTGCTTTCAGATAGAATTTTAGATGAGGTAATTACTAGTTGAAGCATCTTCATTGGCTAAAATGTATCTGAAATTTAGATAGTGATACCGGAGCTTTTGGTCTTTTGATGGCTTTCTGAAAAGGTGTGTGGACCACTTACTTGCCGATTTCCTACCATGGCCACCAGCAGCATCCCTGCAGCGAAGAAGAAGGTGCTATGGGACCGCGACGGCGTGAATGGGCTCACCACTGAAGGAAATTATACTAAGTGGAAGGGGGGGGGATCGAGCGTCGGGTTTGACAAAAGAGGCGCTATGTGGCACAATTATAGGTAAGCTTATCGACGCTGGCATACGCCATAGGAAACCTGCCGATGTACGCGACAAAGATCCAAAAGCTGGAGTCGAAGTACCGTACGGCTGTGGACTGGCTGGACAATACGGGACAAGGCGTCCCGAGAGGCACCATGTCCATAGCATCCAAAATACTTAATTGCGACCATCAAATGAACCTCTACGGACGCTTTTTTCATCTTGCTGACAGGGCTTTCGAAACAGACATCGTCTGTAGCAGGCCTACGATAGCAAAGAACGCAGGCCTTGATACTCGAATATTTGACAGGAACTTGTCCGATGGAAAGTCGTTTGAGGTAGTGAGGCACTTGTGAGGATCGAAGGCCTCGGCGGTTCCTAGGAATGGTGTAGCGAGACGTCTCTACTACGTAGAGTAGCTCCAGTAACATGTCGGTCTCGTCGTCATCATCAATGGCTTCTTGTAGGCGAGTACGTGCCGACGCACCGAGCTTGATCAACGGCGGCTCTGAGAGTGCTAAGCTGGTGGTAATTTCTCGACGAAGCCGCTCACGGTTTGAGATTCTTGGCATGGTGCTAAGGTCCTTGTTCAGGTAGAGAACGCGTTCCTGCGTGAAAGTAGATTAGGGTTAAAACAATCGTGACTGGACGAGAGCCCACGGCTCGACACGGTGTGCCACGAGCTGTCCAAGTGCAAACTTCCGCTTGCCTCGTCTGACTGGTCACAAGCAGTTTTCATCCGATGCCATCAGACTTGCCAGCCCGCGAATTGTACCCGAGTCTCCTCGCAAGTCTTGGCTTGTGGCCCAATGCTGCTAGTCTCGGCGCCGCACAGCACACTGAAGAGCTGTCCCCGCCCCCCTCAGTCACTGAGCCAGCTGCGCCAACAACGACGCCAACCATCTTGCTGTTGCCACAGCCAAGCCGCTTACCTTCACCTGCAGCTAGCAGCTCGCCCTCAACTGTCGTAGAGACTTCAGAATCAGCTGCGGCTGCAGCTCCTGCTTCGACAAAGCGTAAGACTAACGCGAAATCAAAAGGCAAAGCTAAGGAAGAAGCCAAGTGCCAGGTCAAGCGTGTGAAGTGGACCAACAAGATGGTGGGAGAGCTGCTTAGACTGCGCTTCTCTGACGGAGACGTCAAGCGCCGGCTTGAGGGCGCCGACACCAAAAACAAAAAGGGGCTAGCATGGCAGTACTTTGCCAGCGTACTCTCCCAAGAGCTTGGTGTGGTACTCAACCACGACCAGGTGCGTTTATTGCTTTGTTTGCACTTGTGTTCGTTCACTAACGTTTAGCTACAAATATTATTTGCATGCAGGTATCGCTCAAGTACAAGAAACTAAAGTGCATCTATCGTAAGGAGAAGAGAGAGCATAAGAGGTCAGGAAATGCTGCTCGCATTAGCGAAATGGACGAAGGTCTTTGGGCCATTTTGAATGATGCTTTTGGCGGACGAGTAGGCATTAGTGGCGAAGTGTTGCTAGACTCTGCTATTAATGAGGATGACGGTGAGGACGTGGAGGGTGGCGGGGCGCAAGCAGCGGAAGAAGTTTCAAAGAAGAAGCCGGCTCCTGTTGCCCAGCTCGCCACAGCTTTGCAAGGTGGAATGGAGGCGATTGCCTCTTCTCTAGGAGCGCGCTCGGCTGCAGAGGACCAGCTTCGAGCTTTAACTTCGGCAATCCAGCAGCAACACGAAGACACGCGCAGATTCCAGGAGATGCAGTTGCAACTTCTTCGTGAGCTACTAGCGCAGCGCCAGTAAAAGGTGGAGCTGTCCGTTGTATTTGTAGTTAACTGCTAACAAATATGTCTGCTATGTCATTGCGTTTTGCAATACTTTATTGGTGACAAACCGCTTGCTCTCTTTCGACTGGATCCTCACTGACTTGAGCAGGGGCATCTTGCAGCAGCGGATCCTCGCCATGAATTGGCAATCCGTCCCCCATTAGGGTAAGCATGTTATGTAAGACAGCACAGCCCAGAATGACTTTGCAAATGCGATCTGTCGTCTTCTGCTCCAGTTTGCCCAGCAATACGCGGAAACGGTTTTTTAAACGCCCAAAGGCGCATTCTACGACAATTCGAGTCCTGGAATGGGCCTTGTTGTATCGCCTCTTCCGAGGATCTTGCATAGCGTCTGCCTCTGGAAACGGGGTCAACATGTGACCCCAGATTTTGTATCCGGCATCCGCCAGCAAATGCTTTCCAGGAGGCACGTAGCTAGAGATCCTACGAGTGCATCAAACAAAATTAGATCTTAGTGTTGACAATAAAATGCTTGAACTTTACCTTTTCTTCACTCCCGATCCATTCCAGAGCGATTGGTCGTTGTTTGACCCCGATTGAATGGATATGGACCGGAAGAGACCACGGAGTTCTACGATAGCTTGGACATTTACCGCAGGAAAGTTATTGCGACTGTACCAGCCCTCAAAGTCGTGTGGGCGCGCAATACGGACGAGAGTACCGTCGACGGCACCAATGGTGTCGGGAAACCCGGCCGTAGCGTAGAAGCCATCTTCAACAGCTGCCAGCTCCTCTGCTGGCGGCATGAAGATCATAGATTTTGCCATGGCGCTGAGCACGTCCAGGGTATCGTTAATGTAGACTACACTACGAGGCCTGGAGATGCCCAACGCCGTTGCAGCCTGGTCGATGGTGCCACCCTTGGCCAGGTAGAGCATCGTGAGCGCCACGCGCTTAATGACGGGGTTCTTGGTGTTGGGACCGGGCTCACGGCCCCACGCAGCGTGCACTAACCGATAGATACGTTGGAACGACTTCTTGTCACACCGAGGTTTGTCGTGGAACCAACCTGTTCCCGTGTGCGGAGAGCTGTCTCGAATGCTCGAGTGTTAAACGTCTTGGGGGCTTTGGGTGGCCGTCGTAAACCGCGGATATCTACTGTGGCGATGACAGCGCTCACGCTTGCAGCAGCTACTACTACTGCTAAAATGGCAGCCGTGAGGTCGTCCATGGCACAAATGTGCTGAGGCCAGAACACCTGCTCGAGAAGTTCCCAGAACAAGTGGTTCAGAACGTCAATTTTCTAAGTGGTACATTATACCGACTAATTTTCAGCCAATAAAATCCTAGGCAATTTTTCTGTTCAGAACGCGTTTTCCACTTGAACAAGGGCCTAAAAGGGTTTTGAAAAACGCTGAGAGGTGTGCCTGACTTCTGGAGATCTGAACTGAATGGGGTTGTCAGAGTTAACGATCAGTCATTGGTTAATTTTATGCTCTCACAAAACCTTCTGAACTTTAACTCTGACAACCACTATTTTATCTTGTTTTCTAATCCCTGCTACGGGATCCTTGTTGAGGTTTCACGAATTTTGTTAGTTTGAGCTTACAGCATTTTTGGATACTGGAAATAAGAAAATGAGTAGTTTCTTTTAGATTGACACGTCCAGCTGAAACCATAGCAATGTCCGCAAGAACCATTAGCACAATTTAGCAATATACTTCAACACCACTTCCACAGTCCCCCAGCACCTTAGTTATAGCAATGGGGTCGCTAAGATATGTTACTTGCAGCCGTAATGTTAATATATTTACACTTCATCAGATCATTGCCTTTACTGGCATAGAGATATCCTCTATCACGAACACGCAAAAACATTAGTCGAGTTCCTTAGCGTCCAGGGGGTGGAGACATGATTTATGTGTAAGAATAGGTGTGCCTCATTCAATTGTGGGCGCGTTTCAACACAAAACATTTTGCTACAGCTCATAAGGTAGATACTACAATCGGGATCAGCACAACACTCGATTTCCAAGGCTCGGCCTTGACTTGAGAAGCCCCCCCATCATGCTTCGTTGTTTGTGAAATGCCCTGTCCATGGAACATGTATTTGCCGACTATATCTGAATCTAAGTCAGTTGCGCAGAAAAGAGGACTAGTTTTAAGCTTGTACGTGTTGACTAGCTTATAATAAATTTATTGTAAGCTGCAATAGCGTACTCGAGAGCCGACAGCGTGAGCTAAGTTAAGAGAAAATTATTGTACTCGTCAATGCACGTTGGACCAAATGTAGCCATGTGTATTGAGGGTCCACAGACCCAATTCCAACAGCAAATGTTAGATATATGGGGTAAAATCGGGCGTAGATTTCAAAAATGGGGTCAGAACTAGCTGAGTCGCAGTTGTTTGCGAGCTACATGCCGATTTTGAAAAGCATTTTAGTTTTAGACGGCTCAGGTTTACGGGAAATGGGTTGCGTTTGAGGACGGCATTTGATTGGGCAATTCGACAAACCGCATGTATTTGCACTAGAAAGTACACAATTGAACACAAGCAATTCTCATTCTGATTGTAACCATTGGAGTGCATAGGAATCCCAAACATTTATTTAATCAGGTACCTTATCTTCTACGGCCATGAGTTTGTTCTCTGCCGATTCTCGTGCCCGCTCGGCTTACTTATTCTCGACCTTGTGTGCGTCGGTTGGCGGGCATTTTTCGATGTAGTATTCTTGCAGAGACACAACAGCGGCTGAGTCGGCAGGGATGTGACTCTTCTTACCGACGACATAACGAAAGTCGAGTTCGTGGAACCATAGACATCGACGCTTCAAACATGGCTTCGTAAAAGATAGGGATTACAGTTTTATTTGGTACTAGTACACCGCATTAATCGTGTAATATATCATACTGTACTATCTATACAATTTCAGTACCTTCCAATATTTTTTTGACAAACATACTTTCCTAGACGTACATGACGCAAGTTTTAATTTTGGCGTATAATTGTTTATGGCTTCATTACTGTCTCACCTGTTACTGCAATCTGTGACACTCCAGTCCGCATCGTTCTGAGTAGTGAAGTTGAGAGTAATACAGCAAACGCTGCAGTGTTCAGAGCTGCAGAACAATATCCGTCTTTTCAGCTACCTCTAGAAAGGTTTTTGTGCTGTGATGAGTTGGCCTTGTCTGTTTTGAGTGTCGATGAACGTATAAATCACGGATTTTAATTTTATAGGGTCGTATTCGCGCTTCTTTCCTCGATGGGAGGGCTTTGGCTTGTATTTAAAATATTAGAGGTTAACGTTATAGAGCTGATAAGAAATTGACACCACAATAATGCTGGTGCGCACCTCGAACTTGGTGTCATTGTCGGCTCTGTAGGCGTTCATCATCATCATGACAGTGCTGTGTGCTATCTCTAGACACGCAGCAACAAGGTCTCGGGTTAGCTGCTCTCTAAAAAGGCCTTCCTTCTTCGCTTTCGACATGAAGTCGTACCACCGCACTACGTAATCAATCTGACCTGGGGTCAGCTCTTGCTGCGTGGCGTTTGACTCGGACATGCTTGTAGTGCCGTAACGAGTTTATTAGATGCACCAGACGCTAAGGAACATTTATGCAGTCTCCTTTTTCTATTCTGGTAGAAACTCGAGGAGTTTCACTATGAATAGTGGCATGCTAAAATTGTCTGGTCAACGTTCAATGACGAGTACAATAGTTATATCTCGATAATTAGACTGGATGCTTCTGCAAATCGAGAGCCGGGGCTCCATTCTGACTTTAATAATGTTTGTTATAAATACACTTTTACTTTAACTGCATAATCGTTTGATTACGCTACTGTAAGTAGTGCATCACCAAATTGTCGTACCACTACAATCTCTACTACTTCGGAATTTGCTATCAAGTGCCACTGACGCATCTGAAGTAATGACTGCAAAATCCTGCCGATTCGTGATTTCAACCTGCATCGTGCTCCTGTTGGGGCTTTCTTTGATGTGGTGCATCAATGGTGGCGAAGTGGTATCCAGCGCGAATAACATCGACAACGACGACTCAACCCACGGAGTCGATATCCAAACCCACCGGTGGTTGAGAATGCAAGCGGTGCAAGCAGTGGATGGCGAGGGTGATCCCGCCGAAGAGAAGGCGTTTGAGTTTCTAGGTGTTGCGGCGCTGAAAAACGTCGCCAACTCGCAGACATGGAAGAATATCGGAACAAGTGTCAAGCGTAGCTTTACTTCGGACAAGCAAAAGCAAACCAACAACCTGTTCGACGATTTTAAGCTAGGAGAGTTGAATCCAAAGTATTTTGAGTCCGCAGCGTACCAACAGTGGGATAAGTCTGTTGCCAAAAGATTCAAGGAAACTGAAACCCGTCTGGAGGCGATGTTTAACACAATGAGAAGTAGTTACGGCGATGGGCGTCTAGCCAAGTTTTTAGCTGAAGAACAGAGTGTCTCGAATATCGCTAAACAGTTTGGAGTTATACAAAGCAAGACCTGGCTTAAAGAACAGAAAACGACGGGTGAAATCTACGATTTATTAAACCTGAACGCTGACGAGAGTCTCTTGAAGAACCCGTTGTTACATACCTTCCTCGACTACGCGAAACTGCGCAAAGAGGATCCGTATAGTTTGTTGGCGACCCAGTTCACGAAGCAGAATGGCGAAGATGGATTTATCAAAATATTTGTTGGTGCCAAGGCAGACGACAGTACGCAAGCCATTGCTTCGAAATTGGAAAAGGTGCAGCTTTGGAAGTGGGCGAAAAGTGGAGCGAAGGATGATGGCGTGTTCAAGCTTTTAGGACTTCAAACCGTCAAACGGGACGAACTTCTAAGAAATCCAGCTATGAAAACCTGGGTTTCCTTCGCAGATATGTTTGGAAGGCACGAGTCGTTGTTGTTTAAGTTGTCGAAGCACTACAACGAAGATGAGCTGGCGAGTATTATTTTCGCAGCAAAGGTGGACCCCCTTTCGAAAGACCTTGCTACACGGCTGCAGCTCGAGCAACTTAAAAAGTGGCTGTCTAACAGAAAGCCAGTAGATGTTGTCTTCAAGCTTCTACGACTTGACGTCGGCAAAAGCAACAAAATTCTGAAGAATCCGACCTTGGGCCTGTGGATTGACTATGCCACTTCATTTGGGAAGGACCCGTATGACTTGCTGGTACCCAAGTTAAAGAACAACCTGGGTGAAGGTGGATTAGCTAAGATGCTGCTTGCAGGGAAGGCTGATGAGAGTACGAAACGAGTGGCTGTCAAGTTGGAACAGGTGCAACTTGCAAACTGGCTAAGTGAGGGAAAGACAGCAGATGATGCATTCAAGCTTGTGCGACTTAACGAGGTCGACCTCGATGGTATTGCGTATAGTCCAGCTCTGAATACCTGGATCTCATACGTCAACATGCTCGACAATCAGCATCCCGACAGCACCATGTTGCACAGGCGGATTGTAAATCTTCTGAATGTTGAGCCACAGCTCAGCATACACGGAATTACGGAGAAGGCGCTTCTTCAGACCTGGAAAGCACGTGAAAAGACGCCAGATGAAGCGGCTAAGATTTTGGGACTCAAAATTGCCAATGCTGATGAAATTATGAAGAATCCGGCCGGTTTGGGAACCTGGATCTCCTATGTCTCTATGCTAAAAAGAAACCCGTACGAGTTATTGGTAAAGAAGTACGCGAGAAGCTATGGTGAAGGTGGACTGACTGCCATGCTATCTGCAGCAAAGACGGATCCGAATAAACAGGATATTGCAATCAGATTGGAACGCACGCAGCTTGAGAACTGGAAGACGGATGGAAAGACGGCTAATGAGGTCTTCCAACTTCTACAGCTTGATGACAAAAGCAACGATATTCTCAAGAATCCTGTTCTGACAACCTGGGTCTCCTACGCTCAACTTAACAAGGGAGACCCGTATGGCTGGTTAGCACCCAAGTTGATGAACAGCCACGACGAAGCCAATCTAGCTAAAATGATAGTCTCCGCTCTGGCGCAAAACAGACACAACGACGCTGCTAACTCGTTGAGGATACTACAGCTTTCCAACTGGCGGACAAACGGGAAGACAGCAGAGGACGCCTTCAAGCTTCTAGGTCTTAACAAGGCCAAGGGATACAACCTGTTGAAAGACCCGGCTCTCGCAACGTGGGTTCTCTACGTGGAAAAAGTACGCGGTGAAGACCCTTACCAATTGCTATTCTTGAAGCTAAAGACCTTCTTCAGCGAAGAAGAGCTGCTGAAAATGATTATGCCTGCGAAAAGAAGTTACAGCGGGCGATATTCTGAGCAATTGTTAAATGCGCAGTACAAATACTGGCTGGAAGAGGGCAAAAGCGCAGACGACATTTTCGACCTTCTCAAATTGAACAAAGATGGCGACAATTTTTTCGATAACCCAATGTTGCATTATTGGGGGTCCTTTGTGAGGAAGATGGACAGGGAGAAGGCGAATATGTCGATGCTCGCGGTCATGAAAAAGCACTACGACGATGAAACGCTACAGAAAATGCTTACTCGGGCATTAGAGAGCAGTACAGTAATGAGACCTGCGAAAAGCATGGCTTTAAGACTGAAGAAGGAAATGGATCTTCGCTAAAGACGATTCTCATCATAACCTAGCACTTGTGCCAGATTCAACCATCACACACTTCGCCAGTTACAGCTGTTTTACCTCTATTTTATCCGATTGTGGTCCCTCCCTTTCCGAAGGTACTACTTCGAAGCACGTAGTAAAACCGATAATCCCCTGAGCGTATAATGCGTTGATATTTCGAGACTTCAGGTAGTAGCAAGAAATGAAAACTATTCTTTATCCATACATTCACTATTGTAGTATTTAATGGGTTAATACCAAGTCGGTATCAAAATCTACTGAGTTTCTTTCTGCACTTCCGTAGGTTACGACCTCGCAGATTGCTTTTATTGATTCATATTACCTAACTTGCCTTAGACTTACTTACAATATATATATATTCCCCCTCCCCATGGATTACAGAGCCGAACCTGATTTGGTGTGGTAGCCCCATCTAAACTGTTCCGTAGACGTGGCCGAACCTGATGCTGCGTAGGCTCGGAGCTGTCAGAGAGTTCGGCTAAGAGTCCGTTTTAAACTGTACTAACCCGATGGGTGAGCCCAAAGAATACGAAGATCTAACTGCTCGAAGAAAACCGTTATGAGGCTTAGACACTGTCGTGGAATACGCACTGATACTGCGGCCAACTCAGATGATCAGCTTGTATTTGTAGCAACAGGGGAGACACTGGAAACTGCAAGACAAATAACAATAAAAACTTGTATCGGTTTTGTGCAAATCGACGGAAGTGTACGTAAAAAAAAAATTGATTGTTTAACAACATGAAAAAGTGTAATAAAGAGCTATATCCTATCAGACAAGCACTTATTCCACACTACTAACCCCTCTAGGTTCTTAAACGCGAAAATTGGACTAAAATGAATACAAAGCGTAGGGAAATACGGCGCAAAGGTGCATTAAGTTCTTTCTGGTATAGCATTAACACGACTATGAAAAGCAGCTTCAACAGTTTGAGTTTAAACAACGCGAGGCACCATTTTATTCATCACCTATAATTGAAGTGGTCAAATTGAACAGGCCTCTTGAAAGTAGGTAGTGGCTAAAGAAAAAGTATAGAATATCTATTTCTACTTTTTCAATATACCTCAAACCATTCATATAGTAGCGTTGAACAAATTCGTGGAACGCTGCGGAAACAGCGTGGGAATGTAGCAACCGAAGCACAACGACGTTAGCAGACCTACAGTGCTGACGTGCTAAAGCTAATGATGATAAATTCAAAAGTCAGCTTACTATCGGAGCACAAGGACTTTTTGTGATCCCTTCTTTATCCCTGATATCACTAACCATCAGATATACATTCTTCTTGTGCGCTGTTCTTGTCAGAGCCCTCCAGTGAACACAGTCAGGACGAAGTGCATGCATTTGCTAATGGCTAACGCAATAACACACTACCCTATTTAACGCTACGAGCAGAAATAATGGTCGCATTTTTAGCCTTTACGACGCTTTCACGAATCTATTAACTAAAACCAATAATACTGTACTATGTAAGCATGTCTATCTCTAACTTGAGCACTAGCTTTTCTAAACGTTATTCAATTTGAATTCGTTCATGGCTTCTGGAATCCCGATAGTAACGTGACTTCTGAATTTATCACCACTGGTTCTTAGCACGATAGCACTGTAGGTCTCCTACCTAACGCCTTCAACGAACTCTCGGATAACGTGCTGAAACAAAAAAATTCGTTGTTCTGTATAACAGCGAGCCAGTGATACTAATTGTATCGATTTTTGTATGTTGCTAGGAAGATTGCGGAACAGTTGATACCTGTACAACGACCTTTTGCAGTTACTTAACCTGGAGTTTTGAGCATCTCGTTCCAGAAACGTTGTAAACGTCCAGTGCAATTATTATTAGTACAATGCCATATTTTTACAGAGCGCGGCGAATTTTAATAACCCGTTATTCCGTCAAGACGGATCTAGAATTAATTGTTGTTTCTATCTTGTAGCTGTGCTCAACATAACCCCTTAACCTACCCGAAGCTGTACCTCAACTTAGCTGAGCGATATCTGATATGACAAGGACAATCTTTTGACGACTTATTTTGAATTGTCATAGTAAAGTAGTCGTTGGCCGCAAAAGCTATGAGAGGTGGCCATGATCCCTTGTATCCTCGTACTTTCGTAGGATCCACACTGTGAAGCGCTAAGTCAGCTTCTTGAAGAAGACCTAGCATGTGTTCGCGCGATCTTTTTGGCAAAACGGAAGCAGGCTTAGCTTTTGGTGTAGTAGTATAGTAGTAAAATTCAGTAATTCCCGTTCCGTGTTTTCACTTTTATCGCATATCGGACTCGTTGGATACCATTGATCAAATTATACACACTGTGGTCAGCTGCATATATTTTGTGGCAGTCTAAAGATAAATAAGTCGATCAAGCTGTACGAGGATCGAGAAGACAATTGTGGCCATGTTGTTCGCCATAGGAGTCTTAGAGGAAAGTAGGTTGTAGTTAGCTGAAAATATCCCACAAAGGGAGTGGGTGACAAGAATATATTGTTTCAGTATGACCGTTAAATGAAGTGGCGCCTCTGGGCACTAAACATTATACTTCCATGCGTTTAGCGATCTGCTTGACAATGGGCGGTGTTTAGAGAGCCCCATTCGTGTGGAAGGGGCGGAGGAGCATAATCGTCTGAATGTGCTTTATTATTATTATTATTGTTACTATTGTCTGACTTTCCGAGAAACAGAATGCTGAACGCGACAGCTTATGTGTCCCTCAATCCTTATCATTGCGGCCCGCGATGATAGTGTTCGTTGTCTCTTCCTTGGATGCGGGGCCCTTTTTGAAGATGCCCAAGATCGGCTTGTGAAACTCGTTGAATTAAAGGGTGGTCACGTCTTTCATCTGCAAGGGCGTGTCCTTCTCCAGTCGCGTGAGGGAGACATCTCAGACGTTCAAGTAGAACGAAAATAAGTCAGCGAACGAGGAGGCAGTTCATTGTTCTTACTCAACAACGAAAAAGCGTACAAACAACCACAGCGATCCGCAGTTGATACGCAATAGGACTTTCGTCCACCAGCTCGCCCTGCATTTCTGAAAGTTGCAATTTTGGGGTCCAAAATCGTGTTATGGGTTAGAAAGGCTTTTTTATTTTGTGTGTGTTCTCGCCGTAAATATTACCTCAAAATGGACCTGTACCTTCAAAAATGCATTTTTTTGGCGATCGCAAACTCGCCCTTAGAACCCAAAACAGTAAACTCTTAGGATTCGCCAGGGATTCGTATTTTTTTTAAAGTCAAACGGACCTTGAACGCCTACTTAGTATTTGATCCAATATACTAGTAGTACAGCTACCGTTTGAATCTCGACTTGGAAGTCACCCAGGCTTGAAAAAAAAGAGGTATACGAATTTTTGCCGAATCCCGACGCTTTAGGATGATGATCACTGTAGGATTCGTGCCTTGTGTGATTACAGTGCATACAAAAATTACATACAATAAGGTTTTATTTTGGCATGACGAGTCACAACGACCAATAATCGTGATGTGGCGCGTCAACAGGTCGACTACATAATCCCAACTACTATGTGCTCTACCGACAGACGTAATCTACATGTGTCAGATCGAATGGCACCCGCATCGAAGCTGTCATTAAACAGCATTCATTTACCAGTGGCGAGTTGACAAACGAAAATGAACCTTTTAACACCAAGAATACTCCAGAAAAAACAACTAGAACTATCATCAACCACGAACGTGAAAGTGTGCCATACTCGACGGAGCTGCAGCGGCGCAAGAGAACTGAAACCCGAAAACTCCGCATCCAAGCGAAAGTGCTGACCGCTCAGCTAGCTCAGTTGAATCGTAGACGGCAAGAACACATCAAGAATGCTTCGGCTCTCTCGTCCGGACACCAGCCACAACACACGATTAAATGGCGAAGCGTGGCTGCTGTCGCTTGCGAGCAGAGGCAAATAGCAAAACGTATCAACTGTGAGCTCAAGGCGATCATGGCAGATCAAGAAAGTGTCCGATCTTCCGTCCTCCAAGTGCTCAACAAAACTAACGCTATCATTTGTACGGCTCACCAAGGAACAGTCTAGTGAGATCATCACAAAACTAACCTTCGATTTTGTATCGTATTCAGGTAAAGGACGTGAACTTTCTCCACAGCATGAAGCCTCGACCCGACATCCCGCTCATCCAACATAACTTATGCGAGGACATAACTGAGGAGCTCAAGAGCAAGTTAAACAGCCTGTATCACGAGACACCCACGGTTTTCCCTTCCATTGACACGTCCACGCTGGTCTCTTATCGCTGCCAAACTTTCCCCCTCCTATACTGTGTGGAGATAACATCGAGTACTCCAATCACACGCTCCGTTCAAGAGACTGGGAAGTGGCTGTGGAATGTCACCACTACAATCCGCAAGAACGTTATCAACTGTGTCGGCTACGTAAGTGTTGCTGCTCTTCTTTTTGTGTGTAGAACACTTCTAAGCTGTAGTTTATGAAAATAGGTTGACAAGAAAACGCCTGGTCCTTTCGACATGACTAGCGTGTCATCTCGACGCGGAGGTCTACAACTGCTTAATACTGTGAGCGTCTTCCGTCGATTCGATGAGGGAGACCAGGTTGTACTAGTTGGAACCGCAAAGTGGTATCTTCCCAGTGCCGGTCTCGTGTTGCAAGATTACAACTGGACCGTCATCTCGCCATCAACAAATCCTGACTACGATTGTGTGGCTCGAAACTACTACAAGGTGGAAGCAACTCGCGTCTCACCAGCCAAAACCGAAGCACAAAAGACGATACTCGACTTGGTCGGTAACCGGATGCGAATCATCACTCAGTCCATGCAAGACACTTCCCTTAGTCTTGATGAGCGTATATCTGCTGAGAAAAGTAGTGCGTAGTATTTCTTAAAGCTAAAACAGCGCATACACAGACACTAAGCCATTTGTTTTAGACCCCTGCTCAATTCCTCTGTTGATACAATTCGCAAGGCAAAGATTCCGCTGCACGCCAGCTTTGGGGAGCTAATGGTATGTTACAATGTGATCCTTACGGTTTCCTTTATATCTTAGTAAAATCGTAGTGCCGGGGGTGGTTCGTGGGCCATTCTAATAATAAATGGTGCTGTTCTACGTAATGGAGTGTCTCTCACCGGTTGTATTAATTTGCGAAGGGATCTGCACCGCATTTTCGAGCAGGAAATTATTATACCGAATAATAATCTATGTCAAGACATATTATATCTCGTCACATACAGTTCTATTTGGCCAATTAGAACAAAGAACTGTGACCAATCCGTGCACCCTATGTCAATGGCGATGGCATTGTCATCGCATATGAACATGCCACTTCTGACGAACTAGCATGCATTTTTGAGCGCATACTAGTACGTTGACACCTGTAGGGCAGTGTAGATGACTACGACAAGGACAGTATCGTCGGTGAATCCCTCGGAGGTGGCAGATAAATGATAGTATTTGAGTATTTAGGCTATGCCTACAGTCGTAGGTACATGTATAGAGTCACACCTGTTCACTTTAGGCGGACAGGAAATTGCCGGTCTATGCATCCATTTTTGCTGTGTGCCTTGACATAGGTTATTCAGTACTATCATATCGGTGGTGCAGTATTCAGCTTCGTTCAAGCACGGCTTTGTTGTCGTATTGTGGACATCTTGGAAAGTAGTACCTTGAATGCGAATGGAACACTCATTCTACTGTATTAGGTTGGCAGGCCAAGACGGAGAACCAGAAGGGAGTGGTTGTCTCGGAACGTTGGTGGCGATTGAAGATCTCCGCCAGAAGGTCGTTATAGGTGTGAACACGGCGAGTGGTCGCCGCACCCATTGTGGGAAGGGTGTCGGAGCCGCAGAGACGCGATCTTAGTGGCGAAAGGTCGTTAGAGTAGTGGTTACCAGCGGATGCAGCAGCATTTGTGGTGAGAGTGTGCTAGAAGTGAGCGGTGGTGCAGCGATGGAGGAGAAGGCGCTCACTTCTCAATCGGCAACGAAGAGGGCGAGCGCTTCCAAAGTAGCGACGGCAATAACTTCGGAATTAGCGACGGAGGGGGCATGCCCCCTTTCAAAAACTACGCAAATCTTCTGCAAATCCTTATAGTTCAAGTAGAAAGGGCGATTCTGCCTCGTCCACAAACAAAATTTAATGAAAGGGGGCATTTTGCCATCTTTCATGGGTGACACGAGTGGTACTCAAAAAACAAACGCTAGGGGGGTGCAAAATGCCCCCATTGACTACGAAAGGGTTAATATAGGTGTGGGAACCGAGGGTTTGTTGACCTCGGCTGTTCCTATTGAACTCACTGAAGACTCACAAAATGGTATCTGTACGAAATGGTCTCGAAAGTGAGTGCTGTACTTCATCCGAACTTATATCTCCTGAAATCTGGGAATTAAATTCAGCCCACGGGCGATTCACTAATGCGAGAGAACAAGACTTATGCAGAACCAACTACGTGAAGTAATGTGCCGTCAACAACTTCGTTCAAGCTGTCCTGCTCGCCGTGCGCTAATTACAGATTATGCTGTTAACACATGGAAAACAGTGTGCGAAAAGCAATTGTACAAAATTTAATTAAGGCAATGCGATGTCGCGAAGCGCTCAGAATCGGAGGCGCCTCGCCGCTGCTGTTGCCGTCGAAGACTGGAACGGATCAGATTTGTGAAATGTGTGTCCGATCGCTGATTGGCTCATCAGATCTCACAGTGAAATGACAGTCACAATGTGGCGCACACCACTGGTTGGCCGTTGGACACGACTGGTCGTATCCGGATGGTATCCGGATGGCGATTCCTCGAGACCCCGCCGCACAGTCGCCGAAACCTCGTCGGTTACAAGATCTCATCCACAACGGACAAGTTCACAGTAGATATTTGTATACGACACAGGAAAAAGTAGATAAGAAGATAAGCGCCTTTGTGCGCGACAAACAGAGCAGATTTCCCTCCCGGTCGCACAAGTCAAGGCTGCTGTAAGTGACCGTAGCGACAGGTCAAACTTGATCGACAGGATTATGCCTGCTGGTGAGCACGCTGGCTGAGAAGGTCAACGTGTTCGCCCACCCCGGCAAAGCCAAGGTACGTGAAGGAGAAGACCGTGTGCTGTGCCGAAATGTTCAGGACGAGACTGCGTCCGGCCCCTGTCGAGCGCAAAGAAGAGCCTCCAATACTACCATCAGGCCGAGAGACCCAAGCCGCCCTCGTTTACCGGCTGAACAAGTCCTGGACCCTTCCCTACTGAAGGCCAGCGAAGTTACTGCAAGTGTGTGCCTAGTCTTTGTGGTGGAGTGGTTGCCACAAAATCGCGTTGCGATCCAGTCGGACACACAGTGTCCCGGACTACCGACTAACGGAGGGGGTACTTCGATAACCGTGGGGTTGCTGAGGGTGAGAGCAATGGCGATCGATCGGCCAAGCTGCAAACTCCGGCAACTGACACGTGTATTTGGTAAAGGTGACTTGGTTATGTCCAAAATAATTCCCGCTACAGCTTCTAAGTCTTGTACCAAAGACACCTGTTCCTGATAAGGCAAATCTCACTCTGTTATTCCTTTAAGCCTTGGCGGTCCACTACCTTCTACTCATCCCATGATCTACTGTTGATGCATCGACTGATCGTACCCAAGGTAAGTACCACGCGACCAGGCTACAGAGGGATAGTATGAGTAATTTACTGTACAAGAAAAATATTAAAAAATGAATACTCATGTAAAACACATCAAGTTTTTCAATTGGGGAGGAGGTGTCACTCTTACACGTTTTGACGTATTAAGGTTACGGCGTACAATAGCATATTTTACGTCGTTGCATGTTTTACGTCGAATCAGGTATATCGTCTCAGCTCCTTGCCTGCTGACAGTCACGTCTCTGCCTCCTTGTGTTAAAGGCCAAATCTTACAGGCAGTTTACCTATTTTGCGCAGTACATGCACGAAACTGGACTTGTGCACACTTCGTATTTGTGTAGGAATTGATACCCAACTCACACAAACGGAAATTTGTAGTAACTGTAATAGCAGATGTAGAAAGATGAAATGGGGTAGCTGCACTGTATGCGCTGCGAAGTGGTGAAGTAACTGCCACCCTCGCTTCCCAGCCCGTGACTATACTTACACCTATCGGAGGGCGCAGGCACCACACAGGAGCCAACCACGAGTCCCACCAGTCCACATGAGCCAGCTGCTCGATGTCAGTGGCGCAGCAACCCGTTGCCTCACCGGACGAGTCCGCCGATTAGCAGGATACCCATGAGCAGCAACAGCACGTAGGCCACTGTGAGAAGCAGCGCGACACTCAGGTTGCTAGCAACACTAGCGTGTCCAGTAAGATATGTTGGCCCTGGACCAGGCCGCTCACGAGCCGTTCGACTGATACCATGTGCAGCCGATTTGCTGTTGTGCGGACTGTTGGTGCCAGTGCCTTCAACTCACAGTAACTACACAGTACTTCACTCGACGCCTCTGAATGTCTATTCCAAACAGAATCCAGTTTGTAGCTGTAGAACTAACGCGCAGGAAGCGTCCTTGCTGCTTTGCCTTTTCGGTGGCCATATCCCGGGATGTAATGGGTCACCCCGGTTACATACGTAGTTTCGTTTTAATATTGCAGGCAAAGTGGCTTACGCGTAGAAAAAACTGCGTGATCGTTATTCGATTGGTTGATACTGGAGAGCTAGACACATTACCAGCCAATCATGTGGCGGCTTTCATTTGAGAGGTCCACACGAGGCCAGGGGCAGTCACCCTGGCGCTAAACAAAACAGTGTTTATTTTACTCTGATTCAGATACTTGGACTAAGTATCCCTAAGCTTCCTCACCACTACAAGTAAGCTAGTAACAAAACACACACTGAGCTCGTTACACGAAAATTACCGCTCTTACTACTGCTTCGCCCGAGCGGTGGCCTTATTGATTGCCATGCAACATTTCTCGAACTCGGGTAGATATTGCACTCACAGCACCAGCCCAAGCAAGTCTTCCATCCTAAGGTGTGCCTTCGACTCTATCGCTTTGAGTCAGTTTCCAATACTGTCTACTTCTAAATACACCAAATCCGACTGATTTTGATACACCAAGAGGTTGATTTTGAAGCCGCTTAATAGTGTTCATAAAAGCTTACTGTTGTCGTCGCACAAAAAGCTCTTGAGCATTTAAGGATATTAGCAAAGTCGAACACAGTAAGCGCTAGGTGAAACAGTTTGTTGAGGGATAGGATGCAAATTGCAAAGTGATGTATTGAGTCCGTGAACTCTGGCGCAAAGCCTTGGGCAACAAAACCTCCTTGGACTAATCTTATATCTACATATCAGTAGCCAGCTAGCCACCAAACGGGATGTCATGCGTCAGCGTTATAGCGACTGGCGACCCGACATCGCGCCATCTTGGCGGTGATGCTCAACACCGATTTAGGCCACTGAAAACCTAGGCCCCGACTTCAATGTTGTTGTAGTGTACGTGACTCCAGATTCATCTATTCCAAGCTCAATCCGAGTTGGTTCCAAAATGAAGCTCTCATAGTTTACAAGTAAAAGCTGTACTATACAATTGCAACTCCCAGAAATGAATATCACGAGAGGCGCAGCTGGGTGAACCATTTATCAACAGTGGAGAATATCAATTCATAAGGTAAATTGCCAATTTAGTAGCTTTTGCCAGTTTAGTAGCCGCTCAATTTTCAACCAATACCGACCGAATGCCTACTCAATTCCAGATGTGATTTGCCAAAACTTAAACAAATGTTTTTGTGTGAAAACCTGAAGCACGTAATATGAAGACAAGCAGTCTATTTCCGGCCACTTTCAGACCTCCTGTTGTCATAATGGGACGCTAATGGGCTCCACCTGCTGCAGTCTCTGGACGTGGCAGTTTTCTCGTCCTTATAACTAGCCTAAAGCATGTATTAGACAAACTATTGCCAAGTTTGGTGAGGGAGCCGTCGACAAGGAAACGGACCTGGGTGTCGCGGCGATGCCTTGAATTATCCTTTCTAGGAAGCAATCTTACGGCGGGAATTGAGAGTTGTGAGATTTTCCGCTCTCTCGAGTGAATATGTACGCAAAGCGTGTGAACTTTGAGCGCAATGGGTTGCCTCCGTTGCAGCGTGATGCTGCTTGGCTTCGGGTATCAGATATCGTTCGACGAGAGTTACTGGTCTTGCCAGCACCGCTGCCTAAGACAAGCAAGAGAAGCGTAAGAGACTGGAGGGAAAATTCTGACGCGCAAGCTCCTCAAAGAAGAGGAGGCATCAAGTATTGTCAATTTTGCTGAAATTTGCGGAAGCGGGTCGACTTGGGTGTCCAGGCGAAATAGCCAAACAATCGCAAACCCCACCTCACTGGTCAAATATAATCACTTTGCGACATTTATACCCTATCGGGTATCATCATCCAACCCGCGCACTCAAAGAAGACGAACACCGTCTCGTCAGTCTCGATGGAGAAGGTGGCCAAAGCGAACACCCGATCGACGGGGAAGTAGCCACACGTGAAAGCCGCCTTACTTAAATACCTCATCCAGTAGTAGCTGGCTACGCTTAGTGTGCGCATTGTGCGGTCCACACCATAAACGAAGCCGGACACGGTCAAGTTCAAGAGCAACTCCTTGTGGTCTGTAGCTACTACTGGTAAACGTTGTGCTACTCCTTGTCACGTATCATGTCATGTGTGATATGTGCAATAATGAAGGTTATATCGATGTTATTCTCACGTTTGTAGTGCTGGTGATCGCTGGTGTTTGAAAGCTTAGTTGCTCCGCTTGCTTGTGGGCTTCCTGTTGGTGGGGGTTTTGTGCTGTAGGCCGTGACCTAGAGGTGCACTTTGGAACGGCGCTGGTATCGTGGCTGGTGGTCTTAGAGCTGACGTGTATGTGGTTGGTAGTGAGGTCGTTCTCTTCGCTGGTGCTGTGGTTGGAGATCTCTTTCTGAGTGTGGAACTGAGCGTGGATCTATTGCTGAGTCGATGGTGAGGTGTCCTCTTGTGTCCGTGGATAGTTTGTTGGTAGCGGTGATCTTCTTGTAGCTGATTGAGGAGGATTAGGATGATTCTGTGGTGGCGTTAGTCGCTGCGATCTTCTTGCAGGTGGCGTGCTCTCAGACGCAAGACGTGGCGGCCTTCCTGCCGTCTGCACACCCGAAGGAGATGGCGTCAATCTTGGTGATCGTCGTGGAGGGCCACGGACAGGATACGGCGCTGCACGATTCTCGGTGCGCATGGCGTGAACTTGGTGGTTGCCGACAGAATCTTTGTGCCTGCAGAAGCTTCAGTGTGAGAACACATCGTAGAATACGTCTAACAAATAATAATTTTATAAAATAGAAGAGGTCCGGCTGTTGACTGGTGATTTGTCAGGGCCGGTTCAAACGGCCGCCGTCCGCAAATTGGAGTAGAACTCACAATAAGCGCACAAAGAAAAGGAAGCGAGCTTCGGCAGCAACGAGCAAAGCGACTCCACCACGGCCGGCGATAGAGACGGAATGTATGCAGCGGCGATTCAGCCTCCAATTGAGATGCAGCAAACGATGGTATCGATCTAATGCTGGATAGAAGCAGTTGATAAACCCCCGTTAGTGTTGGACTTCTGTAAATATGACATGAGACAGGAATTGATTTTCCTACCCCTGACTCTGCTCGTCCCATCATTTGAGAAATCGAAGCATAGTAAAACCAGTTCAAAGCGGCTACTAAACTGGCAACACAGCTAAATCGATCGCCTTCGTAAGTAGTTGTGCCCATATCTCAACATTGTAGCAATCGGTACCTTAAAAATCACAAAAATCACGCAGTGCTACCTCTTTGTAATGACACAAGTTGCACCTCAATCTGATAATTTCTCTTTATGCACATTAGAAAATATATGGACTACATACTCGATACTTTGACGTAATGTGTGTGGACTACAATAGGTAGTGAGCATGATCAAAGGTTTAAGACACAGGATCTCTCTCGCATAAACGACAGCGATACATGATGATGAGATGCCGCCTTCTATTCTGTTTTAATTATTATTCACTGGATATTTATATCAAGAGTTTAGGCGGGATCGAGACCGTCGTAGATCCTATTTAAACGAATAATCGGATACTTGTGTTATCACTTCAATTTTACTAAGAGTAAGATTAACTGACGAGATACAGGATGAAATCTGATATTCTGTGCGAAAGAGGGTGAATATTGACCTAACGGTGAAGAACGGCATTCGCATAATTTGTAACTAGAGCAACAATCGTGCAATACTGTAGCGACATTGCTTGATTTCAGCATTCCCCTGTCGCATGACTTCTCCAGTTTATTCTGACTAGGGCGTGTTGTGCTTTTATAGCGGGTAGAA